CCCACTATGTTATGTTAATTAGTAAATATAGCTCTACTTCTCAATACTGTACCCTGGGTGGCCGTATTGAGCCTGATGCACTATCTTGTTCCGTAAGTTTCACCAAAATGTCTGTGGTTACTTTCCAGATAGGACTTTGACAATTACAACCTTGTGTTTGAAAATGTACGTCCAACCAGTTCTTTACTGACTGATGTGAGTTGCGTCACCAACTTGAGAAAGGAGACTAAACCAGAGGAGCTCCACAATACTGTGACAAAAAATTTTCCCACATTTGTATAAAAACTTTCGTAACGGTGTTTCATATCATTGTTTCTTGTAATTGTTTTATAATGAAGCCGAGGATGTTCTTTATGTTTGATCAGGTTGTATTTGTTTAATATCTTATAGGGATGTTTGAAGTCGCTTCGAAGCTTGTGTTTACCGAGTGAGAATACGTTTTATCCTTATTTGTGACACGAGTCATGTTACATTTCGCTCTGCCTTCGTCTTATACATAATTACGGGATTAGAAATGAACAACGTATTCAGGATGAGGTCTGACGAAAGCATTGTACAGCATTAGTATTAGTGATGCTTTTGCATTGGATTCTTTTGCTATGACGCTAAGTTTTTTATTGCTTGTAGTAAAACATTGATTATTGTAATTTAAGCAATTTCTTAGACTATTTCAAGGATTTTAGTTTCCTTTATTTTCATTTCTAACCAATGTATAAGCTTGGCCAGGTCTGTCTGGATACTTTGACAAGCCAAATGAAAAATTTATTTATGTCCTAATTCTAGATCATTTAGGTATTTTATAAAGAAAATGAGGCCAAAGATCACCCTTGATGGAACCCCACTCGTCATTTTCTCCAAGCAGACAGCTGGAAGTTTAAAAATACTCATTGTTATCTGTCTGTGAGCCAGTCAGTGTTCCAGGACTGATGATTACCTACACCTCGATCCATTGATTTACTAAGTAGTCTCCAGCGAGGAAATTTGCAAATAGGCTTTTAGAAGTCATGGTACGCTACTTCTATAGGAACTCCAGAAAATCCAGAAAATTTGCGACGCCGTATCTTTTATTGAGAAAGCCATGTTGATTATTGTTTAAAAACTGTCCTTAGAAAAGCAGACAATACTTTCTCTAACCATAGCTTCCATTAGTCTACCCTTAATTACCCTCTGTAATTAAAGGCATATGACCAACTTAAGATTAAGTAAAATTACATTGTCATGTGCTACTTTACCTTCTTCAAACGATTTCTGGAGCGTAACAGCTAATGGGAAAGTGATCTGATTCTTGGATTCTTTTAGTATTTTTTGCCTTGACATTTCACCCGGCCGAGATGACTTACTAACCTTCAGCTTCTCTAAAAACTTTAATGTAATCGAAGTCAAGTTTTTGAACATTTTCAGGAAATTTAAAATTTTTTATTTAATGAAAAGCATATATTAGTGGAATAAAAAGTGTCCGAACTTAAAACTTATGATAAACTGTGGATGACAATACACTCGTTCAGTTCACGACATTAAATAAAGGCAATGTTTCTTCACGAGCTGCTTCATCATGCCTAATAAACGTCCTGTACTGTACGTACAGGACGTTTATTAGGCATGATGAAGCAGCTCGTGAAGAAACATTGCCTTTATTTAATGTGAACTGAACGAGTGTATTGTCATCCACAGTTTATCATAAGTTTTAAGTTCGGACACTTTTTATTCCACTAATACTTTTTATTCCACTGTACGTAAGCGTTCTCATCTACAAGCTGTCTCGGTTCTTAGCAGGAAATTGTTTGATCTGGTTATATTGGTTTTGCTGTCGATTGTGAATACTGAGCTGGAGGTCACATTCAGACACACCTTCTAAACTGTACAAAAGATACGCGTCTTTTTCCTTATTTTGTCGGTATCACTATACCATATTTCAGCTGTCTTTATTATTACTCGCAATTGATCTCTCACTGTCAGTTTATTTTCCATTTTGTACTAAGTTTTCATATGTATAATTTTTTTTTTTTTTTTTGATGTTACGATTTTTTTTCTGGGTCACGTCTGGCATTTTTCATCATTTTCTTAGTTTCTATGTGTTGGAAGACAAAGATAGTAGAGTTCACCTTCTCTAAGATAATGGAGGAGCACTTTGTGCTAAGATATTAATGTTTATCTTTTTTACAGACTGGCCGTCTCCCACCGAGGCAAGGAGACCGTAAAATGAAGAAACGCTTTCATAAGGTTTTTCTTTTTACATTTAATGATTTATAGAGGAGAAGGGGTTACTACCCCCCTGCTCCCGGTACTGTAATCGCTTGTTAAGACACGCATGACTTACGGAGAAGGAATTCTTTGCCACTTCCCTATGTTTATATCCAGATAAATTCGATTAGTTTCATCTGTGTTTCTATTCTTCTACTCTTGTAGGAGGGCCACTATTAACCAAGTCCTTAAGTTAGTGCGATTCACCTAGAGAATTTAAAGCAATTCTTTTAATTTTTCTTGGCAGTTTTGACCGTTCCCTGTGCTAGGACGTATTATGGTAGAATATAATATTAGTACTGAAGCTCCATCGACTTCTTCGGCTGTGTTCACTGTCGGCTGCGAAAATATGCTTCATTTCTTTAATGTCAAGTGGTTCGCTCTACCATCTGCATCTTAATCCAATGGTACCTGTTACATCTTCGGGACCCCAACAACTTGACTAACCCTGGGGTGCATCAGTGTCTGGACCCAGCTCCGCATGTTCTTGAAGCTCACACTGTCATAACAACTGCAGTTAATGCTACCCAACATAGGATTTGCATAACCCTTGAACCTTCTTACAGTCGGCTAATTCTGTTACACAGTGGTTTCCTTGGCCTTAAGTTATCCATTTTGAATTGATTCAGATTTTATTTAAATTTATTATGAAAATGAATATATTATATATATATATATATATATATATATATATATTATATATATATATATATATATATATATATATATATATATATATATTATATATATATATATATATATATATATGTCGTGCCGAATATGTAAAACTGGTCGATTAGCAAGAACTCATTTAAAATTAAGTTCTTTCTAAAATTTTCTCTTATACGTTGAAAGATATATTTTTTTTCATTAATGTTGATGTAAAAATTTATAATTTTGCACCAAAAGAAACTTAGAAAGCTTACCTAACCTTACTATAACAAGCGCAATTTATTTTAGCCTAACCCAACTAAATATATTTTAGATTTGTTTACAATAATTTAATACTAAACAAAAACAGTGAAATATATTTTTTTCGTTAGGTTCAGAATGATTTTGGCGAAATTGTTGCATACACAAATTTTCACTTGTCCTATATGGCAAGATGAGCGTTGCTATTTAAGCCAAGATGGCAAGTTCTGCCTATTCGGCACGACATATATATATATATATATATATATATATATATATTATTTATTATCACACCGGCCGATTCCCACCAAGGCAGGGTGGCCCGAAAAAGAAAAACTTTCACCATCATTCACTCCATCACTGTCTTGCCAGAAGGGTGCTTTACACAAACAGTTTTTAAACTGCAACATTAACACCCCTCCTTCAGAGTGCAGGCACTGTACTTCCCATCTCCAGGACTCAAGTCCGGCCTGCCGGTTTCCCTGAATCCCTTCATAAATGTTACTTTGCTCACACTCCAACAGCACGTCAAGTATTAAAAACCATTTGTCTCCATTCACTCCTATCAAACACGCTCACGCATGCCTGCTGGAAGTCCAAGCCCCTCGCACACAAAACCTCCTTTACCCCCTCCTCCAACCCTTCCTAGGCCGACCCCTACCCCGCCTTCCTTCCACTACAGACTGATACACTCTTGAAGTCATTCTGTTTCGCTCCATTCTCTCTACATGTCCGAACCACCTCAACAACCCTTCCTCAGCCCTCTGGACAACAGTTTTGGTAATCCCGCACCTCCTCCTAACTTCCAAACTACGAATTCTCTGCATTATATTCACACCACACATTGCCCTCAGACATGACATCTCCACTGCCTCCAGCCTTCTCCTCGCTGCAACATTCATCACCCACGCTTCACACCCATATAAGAGCGTTGGTAAAACTATACTCTCATACATTCCCCTCTTTGCCTCCAAGGACAAAGTTCTTTGTCTCCACAGACTCCTAAGTGCACCACTCACTCTTTTTCCCTCATCAATTCTATGATTCACCTCATCTTTCATAGACCCATCCGCTGACACGTCCACTCCCAAATATCTGAATACGTTCACCTCCTCCATACTCTCTCCCTCCAATCTGATATTCAATCTTTCATCACCTAATCTTTTTGTTATCCTCATAACCTTACTCTTTCCTGTATTCACCTTTAATTTTCTTCTTTTGCACACCCTACCAAATTCATCCACCAATCTCTGCAACTTCTCTTCAGAATCTCCCAAGAGCACAGTGTCATCGGCAAAGAGCAGCTGTGACAACTCCCACTTTGTGTGTGATTCTTTATCTTTTAACTCCACGCCTCTTGCCAAGACCCTCGCATTTACTTCTCTTACAACCCCATCTATAAATATATTAAACAACCACGGTGACATCACACATCCTTGTCTAAGGCCTATATATATATATATATATATATATATTATATATATATATATATATATATATATATATATATATATATATTCACGCCTTTTTATCAATTATATATTATATTTCCATTTCTTTTCATTAGAGTGTAAGGACGGCCCCAAATATTTAAAGAGAGAGAGAGAGAGAGAGAGAGAGAGAGAGAGAGAGAGACTGAGAGAAATAATCAGCTCTCATATCCAAAAGCATATAAAGACGACAGTTACTTTTCCATTAGCTCCTTGAGTACGCCTAGAGTGTGGGTCGGTGGGCAGCGTGCGCGCTTCACCCAGCGTTTGCGTGTGCGTGCGAGAGCTTTGGGACGGGGGACGGGGGAGGCCAAAGCGGTTGCGTGCGCGGGTAGGCAGTCTCCCTGAGCTGGTCCAGTTAGTAACACCTCGCTGTGGGCCGCGGTGTTGAAGGAAGGACCTCGCTGGCCTCTCGCTCTATACCTGGCACACATCACCCGCAAAGAAAACCAGTGTTGAGAGAATACCATTGGCGGTGTCGCTTGCCAACACTGTTTTACTACATGCAAAAAGAAAACCAATTTATTCTGACTGGTAGTGATGTGAAAGTCGACAAACACATCAAGTGAATTATATATATTATATCTGGTATAATAATGGAGTGTTTTGACCAAACAATTTATACGCAGAGATAATCAAAATATGATTGTACGTTTTTTCCATCTTTTTTAGAAAATTTATTAAACAAGTACACGATTTTTTTATGTATATATACATATATATATAAAGGGAGAACGCATGTAAAAATATTTCGAGAAAAGAAGTGTAGAAGACAAGTACCAAGAGATAATAATATTAGTAGAGAAGTGTTCCTTGGATTCCAGGTGCACGCACCAATAAAGGTAAGTATTTCTGAGTTATCGACTTCTTGGTGGCTTACAATTGCCGTGGTTGAACCAGCTTCAGCTGTTTTTACTACTATTTTTCCGGAGATTCTCGCCCTCAGTGGCAAAGATGTGTGTTTTTGTTTTTTTTAGCAGCCAGAAAGTGTTCTACTAGTCAACATCTCGGAATAACTTGGCTGGAATAAGATTTTTATATCTTTTTTTTTTCACTCTGTGTGTGTGTGTGTGTGTGTGTGTGTGTGTGTGTGTGTGTACCTACCTGGAGGGTATTTCGAGGATCAACGCCCCCGCGGCTCGGTTCATGACCAGGCCTCCCGGTGGATCAAGGCTTGATCAATGAGGCTGTTACTGCTGGCCGCACGTGTGTGTGTGTGTGTGTGTGTGTGTGTGTGTGTGTGTGTGTGTGTGTGTGTGTGTGTGTGTACAAATGTGTGTGTTCTCACCAACATATGTTTCTGGGGATCATAATACAGTTAGCAAACTAGCCTCTTAACTACTAATTCCAGTCCTCCTGCTGATCATACATACACAAGAAACTGCTTAGAATTTTCTTTCATCACGTCATTTAGATCATTCCTCTTGTTTACTGCAGTAAGCCTGAAGAAGCATTTCCTAATATCCTCTGATTTATCTGTGTTTTTAGCTTTCAGTAAAGCCCCCTCCCTCACCTCTATCCTTGACTTTCAGTCTCTCCCTACTCATTATGTCCGTCAGTCTCTCACAGTTCAACGCTTTCAGTTCTGGAACCAGCCCAGTTGCAAACCACTGAACCTTCTCTATACTTCAGAACATTCTTTCTCCGGCTGAATTCTGCGCTCGTGTTGCAAATACTATAACCAGTCCTAAAATACTTTGCGTGCTGTATCTAATAATTCTTTATCGAAGTATTGAAATGAAAATAAATTTGCTCGAATCGCCTACGCTGTCATTGCCATTCACTATAATGGCGTCTTGGTGTTATAGTTGGTATAATTGCTCTAGAGATAATTGTCTTTGCTCAGTTTTTGCAACTTTTTGCTCCTCACTGTATGTACTCTGCATGCAAAGTAATTTTCCTCCTCATTCAATGATTTGCAAGAACTTGCAGTTGCTGAAGAGAACACTGGTAGCCACTGCTCTTGTTTTCTGTTTTCGTCTTCTGATCTAAGCCTTTTTTTTTTAATTTCACATCATAGGCAAACAACACACGGAATTTAATTCCCTCTAGCAGTCATTTACGTATATTAATACAACACTGACCCTAGAATCGATCCCTTGAGACAGCTATTGTTAGAGGATACTTCAGTATAGGTTAGAAGATACATCAGGATGGGCTAAAATCTAACACATCGTTAAGTATCCTTGGGTATTTATTGATATATTTGAGAATTTATATAAGAATAAGAAACATATACAGTACTTAATTATTTTTAATGCTCCAAGGTTTCGCTCCCCTTGAGGAACTGACCACTGCGTATTAAGGCTGACCGAATAATTCCATCAAAACCTCTTCCACTTTCTCATGTGTTATATTCACCTGTATTCGACTGAAGAAGCCTGTTGCGCAGGCGAAAAGTTTCCGCAATATACTCAAATATTGCACGAGTGCCTTGTTCATCAACTTGGCGGAACTGTATACTATCAGTAGTTGTTTTAGAAAGACACGTAAGCAAACACTATAACATATTTATTAGAAAACGTTTCGGTCCTGGGACCTTGATCAGGACCGAAACGTTTTCTAATAAATATAAGAACATAAGAAGAACATAAGAACGAAGGAACACTGCAGAAGGCCTACCGGCCCATGCGAGGCAGGTCCAAGTCCCTACCGGCTTAAGCCAATGCACCCAACCTAGTCAGGTCAGGTCACATTGACTCAAGGGAGGAACACGGCAACCGACCCGTTAGCACAAGCTATCAGGTCCAACTCACACCCACCCACATCTACTCATGTATTTATCCAACCTATTTTTAAAGCTACACAACGTTCTGGCCTCTATAACGGTACTTGGGAGTTTGTTCCACTCATCCACAACTCTATTACCAAACCAGTACTTTCCTATATCCCTCCTGAATCTGAATTTTTCCAACTTAAAACCATTGCTGCGAGTCCTGTCTAGGCTAGATATTATCAGCACACTATTTACATCCCCTTTATTTATTCCTGTCTTCCACTTATAAACCTCAATCATATCCCCCTAATTCTACGTCTTTCTAGAGAGTGCAGTTTCAGGGCCCTTAGTCTATCCTCATAGGGAAGGTTTCTGATACATGGGATCATCTTTGTCATCCTCCTTTGTACATTTTCCAGAGAATTTATATCCATTCTGTAATACGGTGACCAAAACTGTGCAGCATAATCTAAATGAGGCCTAACCAAGGATGTATAGAGTTGAAGAACAACCTGAGGACTCCTATTATTTATGCTTCTTGATATGAAGCCAAGGATTCTATTAGCTTTATTGCGAACACTTATGCACTGTTGTCTTGGTTTCAGATTACTGCTAACCAGAACTCCTAAATCTTTTTCGCAATCCGTAATATTAAGATCTACATTATTTAGTTTATATGTGGCATGGTTATTGTCCTGTCCAACATTTAGAACTTTGCATTTGTCTATATATGTTACAGTGTTTGCTTACGTGTCTTTCTAAACCAACTTGTCGGTATTTATTACCAAGGTTTATACTCTCAGTAGTACCAGACTTGTTCTCGGTGACTCTTCATTTTAAAGATTAGTCTCCACTGTGGTAAACTGACCAGTGTTGTTCTTCACACCAAGAGTATGATGTGGTCAAGCAACCGCTGTCATGTGAAAATGTTGAATAATGTGACTGAGGTTAAGTTAGGAAAGGTTCATTAGGAAACAGGACAAGTGCTTCCTAACGCCGGTCTTGGTCATATGATGACCCGCAGCTGGAGTTTTTGGTCACCTGGCCGATGCCTTCCGCTGGCTTACCTGTTCGCCCCTTTAAAAACTATGGTCATAATTATAACTATTTTAATGTGACTTAGGCAGCACATTCTCCTCATTACCTCGGGGCTGGTGTTCTACGGTGAACATCTTGTTCACCAGGTGTTCTACGGTGAACATCTTGTTCACCAGGTGTTCTACGGTGAACATCTTGTTCACCAGGTGTTCTACGGTGAACATCTTGTTCACCAGGTGTTTACGGTGAATATCTTGTTCACCAGGTGTTCTACGGTGAACATCTTGTTCACCAGGTGTTCTACGGTGAACATCTTGTTCACCAGGTGTTCTACGGTGAACATCTTGTTCACCAGGTGTTCTACGGTGAACATCTTGTTCACCAGGTGTGTCAAGTGAACTGCTGAACCAGGGTTACCAACCTGAACTACTGAACCAGGGTTACCAACATGAACTACTGAACCAGGGTTACCAACATGAACTACTGAACCAGGGTTACCAACATGAACTAATGAACCAGGGTTACCAACCTGAACTGCTGAACCAGGGTTACCAACCTGAACTGCTGAACCAGGGTTACCATCTTGAACTACTGAACTAGGGTTACCATCTTGAATTACTGAACCAGGGTTACCAACCTGAACTGCTCAACCATAGTTACCAACCTTAGCTGCTCAACCAGGGTTACCAACCTGAGCTGCTCAACCAGGGTTACCAACCTGAGCTGCTCAACCAGGGTTACCAACCTGAGCTGCTCAACCAGGGTTACCAACCTGAGCTGCTCAACCAGGGTTACCAACCTGAGCTGCTCAACCAGGGTTACCAACCTGAGCTGCTCAACCAGGGTTACCAACCTGAGCTGCTCAACCAGGGTTACCAACCTGAGCTGCTCAACCTGGGGTTACCAATATGAATTGCTGAACCAGGTGTGCTAACACGAATTGCCGAACCAGGAGTACCAACTTGAACTGCGGAACCAGGGGTACCAATCTGAGCTGCTGAGTTTGGGTTACTAGCCTAAGCTGCTGAAACAGGGCTGCTAACCTGAGCTACTGAATTACGATTACCAACCTGAGCTGCTGAATCAGGATACCAACCTGAGTATCTGAATTAGGAGTTCCAACATTAGCATTTAAACACGGGTAAAGAACTTGAACACCTGAAATCAGGAATAGCAACATGACCTGCTGAACCAGGGTTACCAACCGGAGATACTGAACCATGGTTACCATCCTCAGCATCAAAACCAGGGTTATCAACCTGAACTGCTTAACCAAGCTTGCCAACCTGCGCTTCTACATCAGGGTTACTATGTGGAGCTGCAAAACCATGGGTACCAACCTGAGCTCCTGAACCCGGGTTACCAGCATAAACTGCTGGACTAGGTTTACCAACCAGAGCTGCTGGACCCAGAATACCAACCTGAACTAGACTAGGGTGACCAACCTAAACAGCTGCATCAGGGTCACAAACCTCAGAATCTGACCTGAGTTGCCAGCCTGAGCCGCTGAACCAACCTAAACCTCTGAACCAGGGTTACTATCTTCAATTCACAAACCAGGACTACCAATTCCAGCCTCAGGGCTGGCATGCTCCTAAATCAGGGTTGGCAACTTAAGTATTCAAACCAAGGATACCAACTAGGGACTGTAAACCCTGGTTCAGATACACGTGTTGGTAACCCTGGTTCAAGATCTCAGATCGATATTTCCAGTTCAGTAGCTGGGGTTTTTAACTATTGTTCAGGAACTGGGGTTGGTAACTCTGGTTCAGGTGCAGGGGTTGGTGACTCTGGCTCAGGAGCTGGGGTTGGTAACTCTGGTTCAGGAGCTGAGGTTGGTAACTCTGGTTCAGTAGCTAGGGTTGGTAACTCTGGCTCAGGAGCTGGGGTTGGTAACTCTAGTTCAGGAGCTGGGGATACAAACCCAACTCTTCCCTATATACAATATATCGGAGATTTCAGATGAATTTTCGATCGGTTTCGTGGCTTATCATCATGAATTCACGAATTTTCGATCGGTTTCGTGACTGATTATGAATTCACGACAAAGAAAGAAGGAAGAAAGCCAGAAAACAGGTCAGGTGAAGT